GCGACGTCACAAAGATTCGATCATGAGAATTCGCATTTTTACCACATTTGACGGGGACAATTTCAATTTATGGCATTTCCATTTTGTACGATCAGTCCCTATTAATTTTCTTACGAGGATCAATATATCTAGCTACCTTTTTATAATAAAAGAAAATAACAGAAACATTATTATATCGTAGATCGCGACCACTGGTTTGGGCAACGATCGTGATACAGTTCAATCCGATTGTTCAAAGACTTGGCGACCAGTCAATCAAAGTTGGATGTTCGTTGAGCAGCGAGATACCTCCGCAACCGGAAAACATCACCGTCCATTCCAGTTTCAGTTTTCTCGATCCCAAGTGAGAGAGAACCATTGTTTGTTTCTTCTTCTTCGATTTTACCGAGCACGTGAAATTCATGATACGCCGTCTTCTATTTCCTGTATTATTTAGCGCAGGAGTACCGCCAATCTCGTCAACGATCGTCAACACGTCCTCACAAGTGCCGACAGTCACCATGAGGATACTGGACGAGAACCTGGGACAGACTATGGTCACGCATTTGGGTCAGAAGCTCATTCTAAAAATTCAACTGAATCCAGCAAATGGTAATATTTCTGCGCTGAACTTCTTTTTTTAACATATACGAGATGTTCCTTAAATAACGAATACAAAATCAGTATATCCTGTAAGCAAGAACTAATCGGACATATATTTTTATGATTTCTTTTTTTCCATTATTTTAAGTACACGATAAATTTCTGAGACAAATCTTATGTAAAGAGAAAAAAAGTTTCTCTTTATTTAATGATTCGTAATGCCAATATAGGATCATTCTAAAAATTCAACTGAATCCAGCAATATTTCTGCGCTGAATTTCTTCAGCGTCATTTTTTTTTTCTTTTTGGCATATATGAGATGTTTCTTAAATAACGAATACAAAATCAGTATATCTTGTAAGCAAGAACTAATCGGACATATATTTTTATGATTTTTTTTTTTTTCCATTATTTTAAGTACACGATAAATTTCTGAGACAAATCTTATGTAAAGAGAAAAAAAGTTTCTCTGTATTTAATGATTCGTAATGCCAACATAAAGGACGATTCTCATAACTGAAGAAGAAATCGTATCTTCTTCTCTAGTTGAAATTAGAACAAAAAGATGAATGACACAAGATGTTCCAAATTTACAGATTTCTTTCTTTTAGATAAAGATGCGTGTTTTTTTTT